ACATTATGGGCAAGACAAGGTTCAGAATTCTTGAAGCAAAAGCCAATTTCTTCTTTATTTTTTTTATTTACTGGTGGACCTATTCAAGGAATTATGAATAATAATGATAATAAAAAGAGGCATAAATGTTTCTGATAATCTAAGGGAAACCCATGCTTGCTTTTTCTCATCAATGTTTGAAAAGTTAGTTTTGTTTGTAGGGCAAGAGAAGCCCATCAAAGTTGAGATATGTTCATGGATGACTACAAATTCTGCTTTTTACAATAGTATAATGGAATGGTCGATGTCAAGCAAATAAAATACTTGGACTCGATCAATTCCCCAGTTGCTTTCTCCAATATGATGTTTATAAAATATTTACATTGCATTTTGTTTCTTCTGTTTAATTGACTAAGAAATTACCAATAATAGCTTGACTGGGTATGAAGTTTGAGATTTCTCCTTCCAACTTGAGCTTTTATCTGATCAATAGCCCCTGTGTTTTAGCATGTTGGTCAATTTAGTCCATGTGTTTTGAATTTGACCGATTTGATTCTTATGTTTAGTAATGGTAGCCAATATAACACATCCATTAAAATTGTCATCAAATAAACATGATAATCCTTCTTCTTCTTTTTTTTTTCTTCTTTGGAAAATATAAATTTCGGCTAAATTGACTAAATTAAAAATACAGGTACTAAATTAACCAACGGACTAAAACACGGACGAATTTTAGCATTTATGCCTTCAAAAATTGAGGGTAAAAAGATTGGCACAAAACAAAAGCAAAAGAAGTTGTGAGTTGGTATTAATCAACTGCCGGCTGTCTGTTTTATATGCAACTTGCTTTCACTTGATTTATTTTATGGGAGGAATTTAAGGAAATTCGTTATTTACTTCAAGGAGCAGCCATACATCATCATCAGCGCAAGGGGAGGCACTAAAATTCATGTGAACCCTGCTTTGACCCGATCAGATTAATCAACCGCTTTGGCAGACTGCCATGTCATGGCTTTGAACCAATTGGGATTTGGGGATATGCAATTTTGACATTTTAAAAAAACAGCTGGAAGTTGGATTTTCTTGACCAAAATATATTTCCCACAACACCCTCTATCATAGACTTAGGTGATAATAAAATAGGGAGCTTCATATTTGAGGAGTTCTTTCTGGGACCCACTATGTAATATAATTTAACGATTAAAATAATTGGTGTTTTAAATTTTCTCTCAAAGATTATTTTTATAAAAAATTACCTAAATAGAAAACTATTTCATTTTAGGATTTTTTTTTTCTTCTACAAATTTTTTTGTTTATTTATTTTCTATCACATTTATATGTTTAATAATTAAGGGTTTGTCTTATTTTTTTCAAGAGTAGTTTATTGATAAAGACTTAAAAAATAAATAATGTAAGTCTACCCAACAGATATGTGCTCCTTGAATAAACTTATTAGAGAAATAAACATAATTGGTGCTAAAATGTGATTTTTTGTGAATATAAAAAGTTTAATAATGTCGAGAGACATAATAGGGTGGGGAGGGGGGAGGTGGATCGAGGGTGGGTCTTGGTTGGTGGGCGAGGTGCATCAGAGAGAGTGGTAGGGGTTGTGCTGGAGGTGGCTAGTGGGTCGTTGTTGGGGGAGGAGGTGGTCGTACGGTTGATGGAGGTGGGGGTTTTTATTTTCTAAATTTTTATATATTTTTTTATTTTTCTTTGAAATTATGAATTTACCCCTTAAATATACGGAATTTTGGAAGGACATCCAAAAAATTGACGACAAGTCTCAATTGAACCCATCTGACGACCAATAACGGCATGATAATAAACCTCGCAGCCACAAGGATAATGGTTCCTAAAGCTAAGAACTTTGAATTGGGTTATTCCCAAATTTGAAGATTTTAATTGATCATTCCACATCACATGCAGCCTCATAGCATAACATATGATATGCCCAATTACTTGGAAGAGTTGAAAGTCCTTAATTTAGCCCACCCACAAAACTCTTCAACAAAAAAAAACTTAGAGAATAAATTAATAACTATGGTATAGTTTAGGGGGCAAGCCACATTTTAGCCATGATTTTATTAGATACTTAACCTTCATTATAAGTCTATTAAGCTTTATTAGCTCAACCAATATGAAACTAGTTTTTTTTATTTATTTATATAAAATAGAAAAGATTGTATTTTATTAAACCGAAGGGAATATTACATGATAAGAATTAGCATGTTAATAGCGGTCTTGTTAAAACCTTCCCAGAGAAAACAAAACCCATGTTATTGACTAAACAAAAAAGTCAAACAACTTATACGAAACAGACAAACCTAAAACCCACCCACAAAACTCTTAAAACAACATACCATCACTATATAGGTATTGTCAAAGAAGTTCTCCTATGATCTAGAGAAAGCATCATAGTTCTTTGTACATAGTCAAAAACGTACTATGTGTATTAGAATAGATCCACCCAATCACCCAACCACAAAACCATTGAAACACATCATATCACTACGCATGTACTGTCAAAAATAGCATCCTATGATCTAAAGAAAACATCATAGTTCTTCGTACATAGTCAAAAACATACTATGTGTATCAGAATAGATCCAGCCAATCATCCAACCACAAAACCATTGAAACACATCATATCAGTACGCATGTACTGTCAAAAAAAGCATCCTATGATCTAAAGAAAACATCATAGTTCTTTGTACAGAGTCAAAAACGCATTATGAGCATCATAACAGATCCAATCAAACCTCTAACCACCACCTCCAATTTTCTTAATCCAGAACCCCAGTTGACAAGGTAGACCAAGATTGGCCTCTTAGCCTGAAGAAATTTTCGAAGAAAGATCTTCATAGTACGAACATTCATCGGTTGTTAAGCCCACAAAGATTCCATAGGAGAAATATTTGGCAGACCTTGGAGACCCCTCGATGCTGGTCTCCTCCGCCTTGTCAACAAAATCCTCGATACAAAAACTACGCTTACTAGAAAAAGTCATGCCACTAACAATCAGATGCCTAACACTAGTTTTCACACACTTCTGATTCCCGCATACTTGTCCTCCCCTTGAGCAGTGGTCACCTCCATAGCGTTAAGACGTAGACCCCTCACAATGGCTGCCTCATTGGGAACCTATAAAGGAAGCTTGTGTAGCTACCTCACGGAGAATAAAAGAGCCAAAAAAGTTGTACCCAATAACCAAGAAGAACCTAGAGACAATCAGATAAAACTGAGAGAGTTGGCGCAGAGAATGAGTAAAGAAAATTGGAGAAATCCAAACCTTAGCCATCAAGGCTCTTCTCACGTAAACGAGAGAGCGACCCCTTTCTAAAATATTTTAATATGAAACTAGTTCTTAACAAAGATGACAAATGAGTGAGTCACTATTTCATCATTCAAATTACAAACTCCATTGCTGCCATTGAATTTAGAATTTTGGTGCACAAATTTTCACATAAAAAATTGATTATGAATGAAACTATTGCTCTCATGCTGAACTTTGTATGAAACTATTGGATTATGAATGAAATCTCTTTTCCTCTAAATAAAAAATAAAAAATTCATTAAAGGTTTGTCTAATATTTTCAAGAGTGATTTATTGATAAATACTTGCAAAATAGACAGCGTAAGTCTACTCAACAAATATATCTCTCGATTCGAATGAACGTATTTGAGAAATAAATAAAAATGGTGCAAAAATGCGATTTTGGTGAATATAAAAGGGTTAATAACGTTGAGAGATTCAATGAGTGAATTTATTAGATACTTAACCTTCATTATAAGTCTTTTAAGCTTTATTAGAGGAAAGTGAAACTAGCTCTTATCTTAACAAAGATGACAAATGAGTGAGTCATTATTTCATCATTGAAGTTACAAACTCAATTGCAACCATTGAATCTAGAATTTTGGGGCAGACTTTCGCATATAAATTTAAGGTCTTTCCTTCCAAGTTTGACAAATCTTAATGAAATGATTTTCTTCTTTAATTATCTGGCATACCAACTTTTTTTTTTTTTTTTTGGGTCAAAGGCATGCCAACTTGGTATGACCTGTATGTAACCTTGAACAAATTAATTAACAGATTGGAGTCCGGGTTGGTAGGTAGGTAGGTTACTTCTGTAATTTCAGTGATTTCGCTAGTTTGGGTCAGCATGCAGCGTCTTATACGTCATCATCCTTTTTGTCCCCATTATTTTTGAAAAGTCATATTCCATCAACTTCCTTTGTCTTTTTTTGGCCATTAACTTCCTTTTCCATATAATACTTAAATAAGGTAAAAATTAATCTAAAATGCAGGTTAGATTAGTTGATCAGAGCACTAAACTCGCTTTCTTTGTATTTAAATTTGAGTCTACAAAAGTATATATCATCGGTTTAATTTAAATTTTTTTCATATGTTAAAAACGTCGTTCACTTGGTCATGTTATTTAATAATCAAAATTAGTTCATAAAAAGTACTAATAATTAAAATTAGAATACAATCTTCTTCTGTTTTCTTCTTCTTTGTTTTTTTTCTTATTCTCTTGCATGATAGAAATCAACCTCTAATGCTTGAGCTCACCCCACATATCACTTCACCTCACATATTATCATTTTCCCTTTGTCTTGTCCTCTTGTATATTCCCTCCAATAAGCCAAAACTAATTACAAAAGTCAATAAATAAGTGGAATACTAATTAAAATCCTTAAGAAAATGACATCCTTCTAGAGCCTTTGCTTGAAACGATCATGATGATGAGCATGACACCACTCTAGCATCATTATTCTTATTTTTTTTCTAGTGATAACAAGGAAAATAAAAGGAAAAAACAAAAACAAAAATAGAAAGCAAATTTTCTTGAGCCCAATATCCCCAAAAGATCACTAGTTATAATTTTTTTCAAAAAAATTCAGATAGAAACGGCACCGTTTATCCGTGTCAGCAAATTAATCAAAACAATCAGCCACCATGAGATTAAAAAATACAGAAAACTAATCCGATATTCAACTATAAAATGGGCTCTGGCTCTTCCGCTACAAACCACAGCAAATAGTAAAATCACCGACTCCGGAGGACTGCATTTATGGCTACCAAAGTGTATATTGTGTACGTACCAATTCTTTGCTTCTACTTTTGTTTTCAATTCTAATTTACTATGAACTGCGAATGTGTTCTTCTATGATCGGGCCTTTTGTTTTGATTTTTTCTTACTTGGGTAATGATCATTTTTAGTCTGTTAGAGCTTCAAGCTATTAAAAATTTAAGTTAGTTGCTGCTTTATCTGAATATGATTGGTCGAAATTTTGAAGTAGAAGGAAATAAATTGATTTATCTTTGTTGGATCTTTGTGTTTTGCACTTTTTATTGAATTGGGTATTTCTTGATAGTTAACAAAGGTTTAAAGATTGAATCTTTGTATTTTTGTTTCTGAAAATTATATTTTTAGGAAGATTTTTGTGATGGTGAGGCCGAGGCTGTGGCTTTCTGTGTTTAGAATTGGGAAATTTATGCAGCTCTGATAATTTTCTGTGTTTAGATTATTTCTTTATGTGAATTACACTCTAGCATCGCATATAAGTGAGATATAACAGAATGACTGTTGGTTTTCTTCCATTGATCCATGTAGGATTACCCCCAAGATCTGATTTTGTGCTGTAGAAAACTATGATGATTGTGTTTTGCTTATGGCCATGGTGTGGTTTTATAACGATGTTGAGTATATTAATGGAGAAAAAAAATTTGTTTAACGTGTTCATCCTGTTGTGGAATTTGTGAGTCTGGAAACCACTTGGGCTAGGAATTGAAAGGTAGGAAAATTCAGTCAAGTAAAAGCAAACGGTGAATAGGAGAGGGGATTGGAGGGAAAGGCAGAGTTGATTGGCATTTCTTTGAAAGTCACTACAGTTAGTGTTGATTGAAATTTTAGTAAGAAGCGAAGTAAAGTCACTTCAGTTGGTGTCATTTCCATGATTGTACAAAACTGCTTTAATCTGTTTTGATGGTTATGTATGGAGTGCAGTGATAGGTGTAGTACAGAATTCCTAATGGAACTTATGAAGCTACTTTCTCACATTTTGTGGTGTGCTTGATTGACTGCATCATTCTCTTCCCGAATGATTTCTGGACTCAATTCATGTTTCTTTACACATTTAGTTTCTTTTGTCTTAGTAGAACCTCAATATATACTTGCAATTATTTTATACTTGGGTAGTTCTTCCTATGCCCCATTTAATGTCTCAAAAATTAAAAAGAAAAATGGCATTGCAAGTTTGTTTGGAAATAGGTTGTTAGTAAGAGTACATACAGCTATTCTCAACATTTTCTATTAAATGGAAAGTTCCTGCAGTAATGCTTACAGCTTCTCATGTAGTTAAAGGCACCTGTCAATCCACATCCTTCTTGATTGTGTGGGGGCTTCTATGGTTGATTTTAAAACCTTATGAGTTTTTGTTTTGTTGTGACATGAACTTCGTCACATGCCTGTAGGTTGGCACATAGTGTGTCCAAGATAGTTGATCTTGATTCTGGAGGTAGTTGTATCATAATTTAGTAACTAGTGGGGCATGTAATGGTTTTAGACTACTGTTGAAGTTGGTTGAATGGTTTTACGGCGAACTTAGAATTTCCTCATTACAGAGGATCAAGCTTCATATCTGAATATGGATGGATATGAATGCATATTAAGATTCTCAAAATTGTGACAATATATCTGAAAATTTGGAAGAATTTCTGTTTAGTGAAATAATTAAATAATTGGCTATGGAAATGCTGACAGAATCCAGCAGTTCAATTAGAGGTTGCTTTTGTGAAAAATATTATTCCCAGTAATTTGTAAAGAAGGATGGTGAGTTGGGGACTGAATGTAAGTCGGTCACAGTTGCACATTCATGCATTGATATGTTTTCACTTGATCTCTCTCTTTTCTTAACCCATAGAAAGAATTTTTAAAAAGAAAAACAGTAAGCTTTACATTCAATTGATTCTCAAGGATGCTGTTATATTTCTTCTACATAAAAACAACCCTCTTTATCAAAATCGTTTATTGATTTTACAGGTACTACTCCATGTACGGACATGTAGGGAGACTAGCAGAAGAAATTAAAAAAGGAGCTTCATCTGTTGAAGGTGTAGAAGCCACCCTATGGCAGGTGAGTGTGCATTTTCTTTGATCCATGTATTGCAATCTGTAACATTTCATGAAATTTCAGCCTGTGTTTAATTCGAGCTTGAGCTTTAAACGTGAGAATGTTTATTTTGAGCAACAAGCCATTGTAGAAAAACATCAAACTTATCTTTTTGCATAAGGGCGTATAAACATGAGATTATTGAAAACGTTAAACCTAGCCCTATTACTAAGGTTTCAAGGTTGTCACCTTGCTTGATGGTTAGTCAGCGCTCAATAGTCATGAGAATTATTTCCCAAGGCATGCCTCAACATTTGAGGCCTAGTTTTGAACTTTAAAGCGGACCATCATTTAAATCCCCCATTGAACATCAGTGCTAGAGATTTCATATGCTCACTTAGAATTGTCAGATCAGTGTCCTTCTGTTCTGTTAAAAGTCGAATGCTTCTCCTTGACTGATTGTCCTAGTATCAGGGTTGCTTGTCTATATTTGATGAACTTGTATATTGTTCACCATCATATGCTTTGTATTTTTCTTACTTACTCTCTCTCTCTTTCTTCGTTCTGCCTCAATAACATCGTGCCAGGTATGCTAATTATTATATTATAGCTTCAAGATTGGCAATACTGTGTGTACTGTGTAGTCTTCTCTAGTTTTATTTTTAATTTTGTTTGTGCCTCTGAGAAATCATGATTTTAGTTTGCTCATTTGTTTGCGTGGATATGAAGATCCTGGTTCTTAGTACGGGAGAGCTTTCCTTTTTTTTGGAGGGGTTCAATTAGAGCTGATTCTCTTCTATTTCATGATTAACTGGTCTTCTAAATCTGGTGAACTTGAATGCACAACAAGACTGAGTAAAATGGACTTATGAAACAGGTCCCTGAGACACTGTCAGAGGACGTGCTTGGGAAAATGAGTGCACCACCAAAGAGTGATGTAGCAATCATCTCGCCCAATGAACTTGCTGATGCAGATGGATTCATTTTTGGCTTTCCAACAAGATTTGGTATGATGGCTGCTCAATTTAAAGCATTTTTGGACGCAACTGGCGGTCTATGGAGAACACAACAGCTTGCTGGCAAACCTGCTGGGATCTTTTACAGCACTGGATCTCAAGGTGGTGGACAAGAGACCACTGCGTAAGTTTTGATGTCACATCTAATCAACTAAAAGAACTTTAAAAAAAATGTGTCTGTATCTTAGTTGGAGATAGTAATGATATTGTGACTTTTATAGATTGACCGCCATCACTCAGCTGGTTCATCATGGAATGATCTTTGTACCCATTGGATACACATTTGGAGCTGGCATGTTTGAAATGGAGAATATCAAAGGTGGAAGTCCTTATGGTGCCGGAACTTTTGCCGGGGATGGATCAAGACAGCCAACTCAGCTTGAGCTGGAGCAAGCATTCCACCAAGGGAAGTATATTGCCACCATCACAAAGAAGCTCAAGGGAGCTGCTTAATACTACGTGCACAAAGATACTCAAATGGAAAGCCTGATCAATTCTTTCTCCCTACAATTTCAGTTTCCATTTCTATTTGTCTGCAAGTATAATTCTTGCTTTATCTGTTATATGTTTTCTATGTGTTTTTATGCAATACAATTATTATTCACAATGAAAAACTTTAGTTTGCTCATGATACTAGCCTGTGAACGTTTGCCTGTTGCTTTACTTTTTCTCATCATTAATCAATCTGTGTAATTACTACTTTCAACAATGTAAAAGGGATGGAATGCTTCAAATTTGGGCAGGATATGCACAATAAGATCAGGACCATGTTATTTGATTGATTTTTCAAGTTTCCTCATAAAGTGTTCTGGTTGTGTTATTTACGATTGATCTCGAGGGTGGACGACATCTGCAACTTCTCTTTCTGTGTTTTTTTTTTTCTTTCTTGTACCTTGTTTTGGGACATCTCATTCTAGTGGCAACATTGATATATATTAGAGGATTTTGGGCCCTCTGCTATCAATTAACTTGCACGCTTTGCAGTTGCCTAGTCCTTTCATGTGTGAGTTTGTCAGTTACTGAGTTTCTGAATTTGGTTTCCGTTTCTTTTCGAAAATGGTAAACAAAGATATGGCCCAACAAAACAGTACTAAGAAAAACACAGAGGAGTGAAGAATATATTAACCGAAGAAAGATACAAAAGGCAAAGCCCTACAGAAAAATACAAAGGGCAAAGCTCAACAGAAGAGCCAAAACAAAAGAGCCTTAAAGAAACAAAGGAAATCAGACTAAACCGACAAAACAGGCCCAGAAACCAGACCTAACAGATCATCCAGCTAACGGCGGCTAACAGAAAAATGACCTGCAATCAATACGACCTAAAAGCTTAGATATATTCAAACCCAAAAAAAAAAAAACTTAGATACAGTGACAAATGGAGATTAACAAAACGTTACATGATCATATTCAACGAGGTTTCTTCATGTTGGGCTATCTTGGGTTGGTTTGGTATTTTCCACGACCAAACCAATCCTATCGGTCTGGTTTTTTGTAAAGTTTTTAGCCCAATCGCTAGATGCTTGCTCTTATTCCAAAATATATCCCAAACCTTTCTCATCCATTGCATGTTCATGTTGAAACAAGATTAGTTGGTTGATTGAACTTGTATAATATCCATAGGAAAGCCTTGTAATTGTGGCCATTCATTCATATTGGCTTCTGCAGCTAGTGGGATAACCTCACATTTGGCTGGTAAAGACTCAATCTCTAGACCTTTTGTCCTCCTCCTCGTTTCGTGAGGACCTTTTGCAATAGTAAGAATTGTGTTTAGCCCAAGCAGAAAGAATCTAACTATGTTGGTATCAAGAGCTCGTTTGGTTCGCGGATTAGAAGATTCGAAACTTGAGCAGCAATATTTCCTTCCCCCTCTCATGTACGTATGCAAGACGTGGAGAGCATGCATCACTGCTGATGCATTTCTTACTTTTGAAGAAGAAGTAAAGCTTCAATGCTAATAAACAATGACTGCTAAGTTCTAACAGAGAAATGATTGTTAGGGGATAAAAGTAGTTACCAAGAAAGAAACTCTCACCGCTGGCATTAGTAATAAGACATTGGAAAGCAACAAAATTTAAGAATTGGTAATTAACTTCTAAGAGAAGACAAAATTAAGTAGCTGGTAAAGTAAGCTATAAGATACTACAATATCTCACATTATCACATAGGCTATAGTAGCATGAATGATAATGATCATTGCTTAAATTTTTTTTATTTTAGGCGATGATCACTTTTGTTTATTTATGTTTCTCACTAAAGTTGATGTTACTAGATGAATTTTTAAAAGATACGGTTTTTTTGCAGTTTTGCCATAGTTTAAACTTCAAAATGGGAGGAGGGTTTCTCTCACACAAACTATCAAGGTGCCATAGGATTTAAACATCAGATCATTGGTCTGCAAATCTTAGTCATTTTCAACTGTACTAGACTCCATTGACGACATTGTCCAAGTTTTAATTTACACTTTAACCTAGATCATTCAATGGTTCTTTTGTAATTCAATTTCCTAGAGTACTCAATCACAAGGTGCCAATCCCAAGGTAAAGTAGGTGCCAAGATTATCCCAATCAAGTAGATCTAATTTTAAAGTTTTGATAACTAATCAGATGTTCGAAAAGGTCATCTACAAAAGTTATTCCTTTGATCCCACTTCCATTGTGACAAAATTACTCACAAATTATTCTTGTCATCGATATTAGCATTGCAATCTTTCAGCAAAACCAAGTATTATATTTTGAACTTTTGTGAATTCTTTGGGTAATTTCTTATCATTTCTACATTATTATGTCATGTGTAATGGCCCGGGGCCATTTTTCTTTTCAGAACTTGGGTTATTCGTAAAAGTTCCCTGTAAAAATTCTTCTTCTTGTCTTCTGGTAAGCTGTGCTGAATTGATCATCTTTGTACTCATTTCTTACAAAGAAAATTATAATAATAACTGGTTTCTTACCAAAGTTTGATGACTATTTATCCTCAACCTTATTTCTATTTTTTTTTCCTAAAAAAAAAAAGAAGAAAAAAGGATATTGAATCATGGCTAGTTTTTACCCCAAAAAAAAAAAAAAAAAAATCAATCAATTATGCCTAGTTAGTCCAATCATTACTGTCGTGTTACGCACTTAAAACAAGAACAATAACAGTTTACCATATCCAAATGGTAGCAAAACTAAGAGGAAAAACCTCTAATTCTATAACTATATAATCATAAATATCAAAGCCAGGAAATTTTAAAAAAATTAAAATTAAAATGATATTTACTTCATATATCGTTTAAATAGGTTTTTTGTGTCAGAAGCAAGTTACTCGTGTTCGACGTTAACACGAGATTAGTTAATTACTCATGCTAGAAGATTGTCTCATTTTCGGATTTGTGTCATGTAGTAAACCTAACATTGCTCACTTCATTCAAATGAGGAGAAGACAATGACTAAAACTCTACAACGAGATAATGTAGTAGAAATATGCACTTACAAGTTTTTTTTTTTTTTTTGTTGGAAAAGATATTGAATTGAACAAATATGATAAAATGTGTAGTACGATGGATAATTAGAATAGTCAATGTACAACTCAAACGTGACGATCAAGAACAAGAACATAATCTTAATTAAAAGATTATTATTATGTTGCTTTACGTCTTAATGTGTTTATTTATTCCATTTAGAAATATATACTTATAAAACATCATGATACATATAAGCCGATGACAATCTCAAAAAAAAGGAATAATAATAATAATTTTAAAGCCCACTACATAAGATGCAAGGAGAAGGAGGGGACCATTCATAATTTCCAGAAGACCATAGCCAGTATAGAAAATATGTCTATAGATGGAGAAAGAAGAAAGCTTTGGCCTCTCTTTACCTTCCAATGGAAGCCCCTCAATGTGACCATTCGAAAAGCACAGATCATGACCCATAGCATCTTTAAAATTAAAATAAATAAAAATATATTTCAATTTCCTAATTTAAAAAACAAAAAGAAATCCAATAAAAAAAAATGGAAATAAACTTGAAAAAGGAGGAGGAGGTGTGGGCCATCTTCTGACTTCCACTAACATATTCCCAGCACATAAACAAATCCAAAAGTGAGATCTCCAATCAAATGCCATCCCCACACAAACTCACTCACTCACTCCTATTCTAAAATCCAATTATTCCTTCCAAATTTTCTCCATCTTTCTTTTTGTGTTAAACTAATAAAGATAGTGCCAGCAACAAGGAATAAAAGCTCCTTTATCTTTCTATTAAAATCAGCTGTTATAATTAACAAGAAATTAATTTTCCTCTAAAACTAATCAGCTCTAATCAGCATCTGTTCTTATTCTTAATCCACCTCTAATCATATAATTCTTCAATTATTACAACAATTAATATGCTCCCAATTGGTCCCAATACGGCCAAATCTGCATCATTTTGCCTGTAGCTGACCCAACAATGTCATGTTCTTTAGAGGGTCCTCACTGCCTTTTCTATGCCCCCTCACCAGTTTTATTACTTCTTTTCCATCCCGGACCAGATCACATATGTGGGCATATCTCTGTTTCCTCTCTGCTTTTTTTTCATTCATCTTATCGTTCCCAACTTGGCTAGGGTTTTGACAAGACACATACACATATATTTCCACCACTTCCACTTTGCTCTATCTGAAAGTTCCTCCAAATGTAGGCGTCCAAAAATCAACTGTTGTCCCATGTGTGACCGGGAATGTGCTCGAAACCGGTACCAAACACAGCCCTCGGCTTCTAAGATCTTGCTTCGGACCTTGATCTGGGTCCTTGGATTGATCAGAATTCTGCATAAACAAAATAAAAAATCAGCAAATGCAGGCATTGGAAACAGCGTACGGGTATTATTGTTTTGAATTCCAGAGGAAGGAGAATATGTTACACACCTGCTGGTGTTGTATGGCAGCTCCACTTTTCATGTATGGGGTGCTTAAAACCTGATATTATAAGGGAAGACATAAATTAGCATATATTTGTTTGTGCCATAGGAAATGGCTTGCATTGTTTATGGCACTTACATTAACTTGTTCGTGGAGAAACTTGATATATTCAATGGCTTCAGAGAGCACTGAGGCTGTATCAGTCTGACACAACAAAACATGATTTAAAATCATCATATAGCACAGGCAATTTTGTTTCCTTTCAAAAAAAAAGGAAAAAAATGAAAGAAAGAGGAAAGTGCTCTTTTTGAATTGAGAAAGAGAATGGTATCTCACTCTACCAGCTATACGTATAGCCAGCTCTTTGTGAAAGTAAAGGAGATAGATAGCGTTTAGGAGCTAAATTTACCTTTCCGAAAGGTGAAACCAATTGTTGGAGGGCAGTGATTCTGTCCCCCATCTTCTCTTTCCTCACCTACAACCAAAGCTACAAGTTCTCATCTATGTCTATGATAAAAGAAAAAGCTTAAAACACAACTCATTCTCTTGTCACCAAAAATAAATAAATGGAAAGAGAAAGGCTTATTGGTCTTATTGTACCTTAAAAGCTGGCAAGGGTGATGAGGTTTCATTCCGAGGCCTTTTGGATGCTGTTTCACTCCCACTTTTCTTCCCCACTGCACCCGATTCCTGAACTTCAGATATATTCTGTTCAACCCAATATTTAGATATTGTTAAATAAACTTCAATCGTGGTAATCAAAACCCTAATCATGATCATGAAGAAGAAACTCGGTAATCCTAGAATTGTAAGCTACGATATACAATGTTGGCTCATTCCTTAACAGCTTAAACTTTAAGAATCCAGTGGTTTTCTCTAACAATATAATTACCTTGGGTTTTTCTTCGAATCGTGCCGTGGGAAACTGCTGCTGCAACGATGGGAAAAAGCTCGGGCGGACATCTTTCATGGCGGCCTCATGAGGTGCATTCCAAAAGGTAGCATTATTAGAAAATTGTAAATGGCTCTGAGGAGGTTGTTTGGGAGGTGATGTTCTTAGAAATTGAGGCACTTTAGACCAAGAAGGCAATAGCTGATCACTAGAGTTAACCCCATAATTTGCTTGATAAGGAAAATTCATAGGGGCTGAGTTAGGTTGCTGATTATCATGATGAGGCCCCAATAGTCCTTGCAATATGGTTGAGGGGCTTCCATACAAAGCTGCTCCTGAATCCATCTGAAAGCTAGAGGGCAAGCCTTGGCACGTGACCGTGCTGTCGCCGGAGCTGTACTGAGGACTAAACTGCGTTTGATCTAAAGAGAAACCACGGTTCATTTGCTTAAACTCGTTGTTAGAAGAGTCTCCACAACCACCAGCAAACAACTTGTCCCTCCATTGGAGTTGTTGGTCATTTTCTTGATGAAAGTTCGTGTTAGAATTCATGTTTTCTTGTAGTATTGAACGGAAACTGGTCTCCGCCTTCTCCCCACGACTGTTTATACACATCAAATCATACAATTTCACATTTAAATTCCATGAAAACATATATAGAAAGATTTATAATTTTTTTTTAAAGTGAAGGATTAATTCCCTTATAGGGTTTTAACTTTTATATATTCATGACCATGATCAAGTTGTATATATATATATAATTGTTCATATCCGAAAAAATAAAATAGAAATAATCTTGGACTTACAATAAGGCATGGTTCCAATCTGTCGCCTGGGAGGAAAGCCCTAAACCCATCATATGCAAGCTGGGGTCTCCGCCGCTTCCCGTGGCTGAGTCAGGGCCTTCTTCCAGCTTGTGAACACTGTGGAAGACCATTGAAGAAGTACCCGAAACAGACCCGGAATCCATAGAAGACCTTGCCTTGAGGTCAACCATGTCTGGTTGCCATCCAAAGCTTCCCAAGCTATTGAGGGTTGAAGCTGGCGGTGATGTCCCGGTCTCGAACCGGGTTCTTGCTGATGAATCCCACCAGTTCCCAGTGGTCTGAAATTCATCTGCCATGGCTCTTAAGCTTGGTGCAGAAAACCAAATTAATTAAACAGTTGGTAGACTGCTAGACTGTCTTTTGGGCTCGTTGTCTTCAACCTCTTGGACTCTACCGCTCTCTGTGGAATCTACAAAGCTGTGCTGCTGTGGTCTCATAAAATGATGGTGAAAAGCGGCTCGCTGCATCTCAGTATTTATATATATTTATATTAGGTGAAGTTCAACCGTTTGGGTGAAGGAATGAAAGAAGTAACCGGAATGTGGTTGACATTTCAGGGGGTGATTAGACAAATGAAAGGACAATATCAATTTCAATTTCTTTTTCATTATTTTCTTTTGTCTTTTATTGCTTTATGTATTTCAGTTTTTTTTCTTTTTTGTACTAAAATGTTTTCATATATCCAACGAAATTATTATTGTTATTACCTCCAATGATAATTACGAGATATAGTGTGCAACAAAACAGTATCGTAAGAAGGAATTTATAGCACAAATGATTAGAGCGATTACTCTTGCATGCAACTGAAATCTTGTGTTCGAATCCATTTCTCCCTCAATATCACTTCATATTGATCTGTACTATAAATAAAGAAGCATGAATTGTTCTCGCAAGGCCTTGTTATCCACAATAGTGGCACCACAAAAAGAGGTATCAGCATCAGTATAGTAGCACAAACCGAAGTACCACTACATATATGTACCGTATTAAGTTAGAATTAATAGTGGTGGGTAATGATTTTTACCCACATATCAATCATATAAAAAAAAATGAAGCTTTTTTCTTATGTACTAGCCCGTACATTCATAGGTACTACATATTGATCGACCACCTCGTCCTGATGCACCATTGGCTAATGAGCAAATAGTTCCATTCCAGCCTTCTAGGATTTGATGGTCCATAATTATTTAAGCAAAACCCTTCTGAGCTATAAAGCTTCACCTAGAGAGTGCATGCTTTTGCTGAAATAAAGAAAGGCCTTCTGGGTTTGGACGGATCCATACCACTTTTAACCTACAATCATCCTAGTCACCTCTTTAAACTATGTAAACAAAAAGTAAGGCTTTGCTTCAATTTACTTCGGGCCCGTTTGATTATACCTTTGTTCCCCATTTTAATTAAAGAGAAGAAGGAAGAATAGTGAGAACTAAAACCCAATAATCAAGAATAATAATAACTTTTTTTTTACACAAATGGTAGGAGAATTACAAGATACCTTTTCTTTTCTTCTTACTTTTTAGTTTTGTGTTGTCCATATTTTTCCGCTTATCTTCCTCACGTCTTTCTCGTTTTTAACTAGAAATAGAAAAATGTAAACATTATCAAATAAGTCCTAATCACAGAGAGAAAAAGAAGAGGAGTGAGAGTGAACCCCATTTTTTGATAAGGAAATAAAGAGTTCACAAAGCAAAATCGCTGAGGGCAACTCACAAACAAGTAGTCCCAAAAAACTGCTCTAGAAGCAGCCGGAGGGAGATGATCCAGATCCATTCATATGTGTCGTGAAGGTGTGAGGTGACCAATAGCTGCCAGAGTCCGCCACAAAATTCGCCTCCCGGAGGATATGAGCAAAGGTGGTATTTGTTTTATAAAAAAGGAATTTTCAATTCAACCCAAAAAACACGTCTGACTTTGTTCTTAATTTTGTATTTTCTACTGACGAAGGATTGGCAACCAAATTTGTTAGCAGTAGGGGGTCAAACTGTCGCATCAGCTGAAGATTATGGCTTGAGAAGTCCACGGTTGAGCTAGTGACTGCTAATTAAGTAAGTTATTTTGTGGAAAACTGACTCATTTAATATGACGAATTCCATTTCTTCTCAGGGAATTACTTTTGTGGAATTATTTACCATTATTTTATGACTTCCGTTGGAACTGGAATAGAATGTTTGCGTGTGTTTTAAGTTTATTATTTTAACTATAGTCAAGCGTAAGATCATGCAAGTTGACTTCCATATAAATCTTGGCCAATGAAATTTGGAAATTGATTTGTGTAGTTAAATTTCTACGCTCAATATGTTTTTTTCTTCATAATGTCAATTTTTGGGAAATTTAATTATGAATTTTACATTTAAAAAATATAATATTTTAACTAAATACAACTTGTGCAGTACATGTGGTGGTATATATAGTTTTCTTCATAATATCAAGCGATATTGGGAGTCAGGGAATTCAAACCTACGACCTCAGGTGCCCGAGAAACTGCTTTTAACCATCATTGTTTTTTTTTTTCTTCCTTTTTTGTTGGGATTTAATTTAATAATTATATAGAATTCAAACATTCATATTTTGTGAAATTTATTTTTTCGAAATTGAAATTTAAAAATTATTGATTAATTATTGTAATTTGGGAGGAAGTCTAATATTGAGAGTGCCAGTGAAATTAATTATGTACATAATTACATACTAATAATCCAATATATTAATTAAGTCTTCATTAAAATATTTTTAATTTTTTAATTAAACAAAATAAAATCGATTTGCTTTGTTCGCCAATGGTGAAGAGAAAGATTAAAACCTCACAAATCTTCCAATATTGGTAATAAACTATCAATTTACTTTGTAATTACTGGTAGTAGTATTTAATTTATTCAGATATTATAATTCTATTTTCCAAGTTAGTGAATTAGATTTCTCTATATATAAAAAAGAAAAAAGAAAAAAGGTGGTAAATTAGATAATTATTTCTAAAATTGACGTGTAATGCACATATGATGAAAACATGTTACATTTTGACTAACAACAAAGGCGGGCCGCGGGGATGAAGAGGCGGCAGGGGGTGGGGATTAGATTAGATTTTTAATATTATTATGACTTTCGGAAACCAGAGTCAACGAGTGGGGCCCAGAAGGCGTGCAAGCGTGCGAAGACACATGGGACCCACTTTTTCAAAATTCCAGCCACCCTAAGAGTCAGAGCCCTGAAAATGACCGGATTGTATATTCTTCTCCCATCCTAATCATTTGGCCTACCCAAACACACACATGACACATAATATGCACCCACCATCTCCATCCATCTCGTCTTCATCACCAAAAAAATATCCCCCCTAATCTTAATCATCACATTAAACTCACTCCTCATTTTGTTTTTTTGTTTTTTTGTTTTTTTGTCTCTGTGTGTTTGTGTGTGAGAGAGACAAAATTAAACTGTACATATCAACATGGTGATCAAACAAGTGGTGCAATTTCAGTGGTTTTGGAATGGCCCCGACTGTACCCAGAGAATAAATATAGAAGGACTTACACCACTTGCTCTCTTGAAATGGAAGTGGTATCATGGTTTTAGGGTTAACAAACGGGACATGATGAAATCATACGTTTAACCAATGAGGGGGCTTGTGAAGACCAAATTTGTGAAAGTTTTGGTCATATTTACAGTTTAATTGATGAGCTTCAGTTAATCAATCACACATGACCGTTCTTTAGAAATTCTTAATTTTGTAAGCGCGATTACTAAAACGGAGAATTTACATAATTCATCCAAGTGGGACTAAAAAGTATTCTATCATAATCTCCAAAATATCCCTCTCCTCCTCTCGACCTAATTCTCGTTAGAAAGTCCCCAATGCGGCCTTTAGACGTTCAAATTTATGCTATCAATCATTTAAAGAAGTATAAAAGGAGAAGGATGAATAACCTTTTGGACTCTTACTTTTAACTTAGTCAAATTTCAATAGATTATTCACGACTTTTCCTAATTGATCAATTAATATTTAATGTGTTTTCACATTGTAGTCAACCCTTTGTGAATTTCTTCCATTACACATTTGTCAATTTCGTGCTCAACACGAGCCCCTAATGTTCATTGCTGTGCTGACTGACAAAAGTCTCTCTCTCTCTCTCTCTCTCTCTCTCTCTCATGTTTTCTAAAGTAGCTTTCTACTTAAATACGCTAACTACTCCAGTAAAATTATGTTCAAATTTGTAGGTGATGAGATATCTATCACCAAAAAACAAAAAAAAACAAAAAAAACAAAAACTCTGGTGTGATCACTTTGCGATCCATGCAACTCCACGAAAATTCGAGTTTGGGTTTGAATGCTTGAATCTTTAAAAAGAGACATACCAAAAGTATTCGCGATGATAATGAATATGTCTACTTAATGCGAGGGTTTTTAGGCTACAATGTATGTATAATGAAAAATGCATCAGATAACAAATTAATCAATCATGAGATTGAGATCTCATTAAAGCAATTATGTATTCCAGAGTTTAAACAATAATACTAGAGGCACTAAATATTATTCTTTGTTTTTTACACTATTACCTAAATTTTAATTACTAATTGACAGCACGTGATATGAACAAATGGAATAGTGACGCACTATCTCCCATTAACTTTTTTTGTCACGCTCCAAAATTAGGTTAATAATAGCATCATGTACCTTAAGACACACGAGAGTACAATATCTAATTCAAAGACATTGTATTCCCACGTCGCTTAGAATCCACAAGGTCTTTTAAATAAAAATAAAAAACTGAATTTAATGAATCAAAGTACAATTAACCAACAGAAGTTTAAATAACTTTTTACATCAAACAAGGTTCACAAGAAAAACTCAAATAGTTCCAAGTAATTATACAAAAGCAAACCAACTCTTGTCAACTTCTCATCTATTCGTTGAGTAATTATTCACAGGTTTTTGAATGTAAATATGAGTGATTCCCTCCTTGTCTTTGAAGGAATATTTTGTTACCAAATCCTATGCTCTTGTTTTTGTAAAATTTTAGTATGAAGATTTCAATTGATTTTTGGAGAAACTTTTCTTTAAACAATAATTTTTGTCTAACTCAAGACTTTCTCTAAGAAATGTCTTCAGATCATATGGTCATTATAATTGCAAAACTTCCTTCACTTTAAAGCATGATAATTACAAATAATCGTCATTTGATATTAACCTTTACTTCAGTAGAACCGATTTGAAAGTCACATATGCGATTTGGAGACAACAAGTGAAAGAACTCCTCCTCTCCTCTCATTAGAGTTTAAGAAGTAGCTAGGACAATTTTATTTCTTATAGGAACATAATTGTCTCCTTGTTTGGAAAGAAACCATTCGTTCTTATTAACATATCACAATTTGACACATGTTCAATAATAAGAAGGAAGATCAAGGTAAGGAACTAATGACATGTTTACTAACAGAAAATGGGAGACAC